TATTCATTACTTTTCAACAACTTAAATCGAAAAGATTGCTTCTATATAGTTTGAGAAGCTCTCCTACCATAAAATAAATAATAAATAAATGGGTTTGAAACCTACTTTCTTATTTAAAGTGACGTTTTTATTTTTTGTCTCTGAGGTCAGAATTTATTTTAAAGGACTTTGTAATTTCATAGATATGATTCATTCCAAAAATTATTTAAATAATTCAGTGCAATGTAGAATTAAAATATGCAAGAGGAAATTTCTTTAAAATTAAAAAAAAAATAAATTTTTTGGATTCACAAGGAGGAATAGGTAATTTTTTAAGCTAATAAAGTTAGACGGATGAAATTCGAGAATGTTATCGAGTTTATGTAAGTCCTTAACATATAATTTTTTCAAGAACAAATATTGCGAAATTTCAAGGATAAAATTTTAAAAGGACATTTTCAGTACTTATTAGTCTATCTGCACCAAAAACTTTAATCTGTTTAAATTCTACAGGATTCCCTCATTAAAACCCATACTTCTTCTCCAAGCACATTTCTCTGAATTTTTTTGTAGTTTCTGAATTACTGACGTCAGAGTGAAAAACTAAAAACGCAATTTTACTATATTTGGCCTGGGATACTGGGATTAACATTCCTAATGTGCACTAGTTTTTATTGATCTATTTATGTGTGTATGTATGTATGCACATACTTCTACATACTATATACACACATACATATGTAGGTGCAAATGCACTCGTGAAGATGGATGATTTAGAACTACTAATAACAAAAATTGATTTAAAGTATGAGATAAAATGTTTATGGTTTTCAGTAAAACGAAGCATTGGCTAGAAAAAGAAAAAAAAATATTATAAAAGACTTACTAAAGATTTTATACAACAGTAAGTAAAGCAATCGTGCATACATACATATGTACTTAGTACAATAGAGCAACGCATATGAGCAAATTTCACGAGTTGTTTCATTTTTCGACAAAAATGTGTTAGACAGCTTTTTTCGTCAGTTTAGTATAAAGAACAAGATTTCTTTGCGAAATTGTATTTAAATAAAATCTTAAAAAAGATAAAAATAAAAAAATCTAAATAACAACTCGTGCTCATATACCCGTAGTTGCGTATGTAGCGTATACGCCGCGTAGCACCATACACAGCCAGCTAACACGTTTACTAGAACGCCTTAACTTAAAAGTCATATTATTTAAAAGTAATTAAATATAGTCGTGGAATATTTTCCTATAGCATTCTTCACGAATCTATATATTCATTTCTTCATGCATATAACAATTTTAGAATAAATTTCGTGTGTGCCAATAAAAATTGTAAAATTGCAATTTTTATTTCGTAAATTATCGTCATCTTATAAACAATGTAATTCTTTTGCATTTGGGGTGCACTAGTTTTATTACTCTAGTGTTAAAATTTTGAGGTATCTTAAACTTTTAAAATGAAAACCCGTTAAAGTTCAAAATTTACAAAATAGCTGCCACTTTTTTTTTAATTTGGTGCCACACTTTCGAAACTTCACAGATATCCTGCATTTGGTGCAAAATTTCATTGCCTCTATTATATGGACATTCTATCTAAAAACTTCCCGAAACAAATAAACGTTTTAAGGCTTAAACTGTTCAGATACTTGATTTATTTTTTATTTAACTTATTTCTGGAATTCCATTGCTTGAAATACATAAATGCAAGAAGAATGCTTTGACTTTTTTTCTGGCGAGAGAAGGGAGTGACACCAAAAAAAAAAACCCTTGAGATTTGCTCATATGATTTCTTTAGTTCCATCGAAGGAGGAAATAAACTCTGTGTATATAATATATAATTTTAAAAAGGACACGACGCAAAATAATGTTCTGTCTGCGATTTATGAAAAATAATGAAGCATAACAACCGCAAAAGAACGATTTCGTGCAGTGGGACACTTTGGAATTTGTGGAAGAACCCGTTGCTCTCCGGATATTATAGAGAAAATCGATTAGAGTTCGCAAAGAAATACCCCCTCTAGACTCTTAGTGAGTGGAAAATTGTGTAGTTTTGTGATTAAACAAAGTTAAATAGGATTGTGCCAGATAAGAAAATAAACTTTCACCACCCGCAATACCAGAACCTGGGTTCTCTTTGTACTATAACAACACTTATAGGGCATTTCCACCAAGCCTTAACTGCACTTTATGCCCCTCGGAAAAACGAGATTATCACTCGAACGGGATAATTGGTCATATTAAGTACAAGTAAACGAATTTATGAACGCAAAAAGTAAAAAATAATCATTGCCAATCACACCATGTTAAAATAATTGGTACTTATCTGAGCTCTTAATTGCAGTTAAGCTGTTGGTGGAAATAGGCTATTAAATATTCCGACGGCATCACAATACTTTGGCATGCTATGTCATGATGAGCGATTGGAACTATCTTCACAAAAGGAGAACGTTCGGTCTAATTTAAGCAAGTATCAGTCATGAATGATTATAGGTATTGTTTCTACTTACTGATGTCAATTTGACAGGATCGTGGATTTTCTAGCAGGATACTGACACACAAGTCAGTAGACGGAGCGCAAAATAACAGTTTTAGGTCCTTTTGGGGATTACATATTTAGGCAGAAATGCACTTAAAGCAAAAATATTCGGCTTTGCAATGTTGGAAATTTCAGAGAATTTCCGGATAAGTACAAAAAGTAATAGAACATCATTTCAATTTCAATTGAACGAAATTCAGGGGATTGCTGCCACGTAGATGCTGAGATATGATCGAAAGTAGTAGCTTTGGTACCAAATATTAACCTGAAAAATGAAATAAATACGTTTTAATAAATACAAGTCAATCGTAGCTAATTAGCTGGACGACCGTTTTGAGTATCAAGCTTCAAAGAATGCATTATTATTTGAAGTTAAATATAGTACTAAGATGTTAAAGTTGAATTAAAATCCTCAGGACATAGACCAAAAAATTGGACTGTTAGTATTTGAGTTGTCATCGTTGTTAATTAGTTTCATGCAACTGTAAATGTGTCTGAGTTACAAGCAAATTTACGTGTATGAGCTCACCTGCTGACGTATGTGGCTCTATACATTTTTAGAATCGTACTCACTAATCCCTTCTTTGCTGAGATCATTTGCTAATTATATTCCATAACTATACCTACGTATGTACATAGTTATTTTCATGTATTTTTGCTGTAGAAATACTAAATTCTGAATTTAGTATGCTTTCCTCACTTTCATTTGCCACTTTCACGATAAACCCCATTCCTCGTATACATGCAAGACAGTCCAATTTACACAGTTCATACTTATGTAGTAAAAATTATTTTAATTTAGAATAAACAAAAAGCACATGGCACATTTCTATTACAATGTAGTATCGCTACTCACATATGTATATTAATACACACTTTCATATGTATGTATGTAAAGGAATATGTATGTCAGACATACATCGATGTATATATGGCTGCAAAAATTATACGTAAATAAATATGTACAAAGATATGTATATATACTTAACAACATAAAAACATACATGCTTAATGGCATGTTTGTGAATTCCCCTTATGAATCTCATGCACATGAGTAAATTTTATTAGCTTGTAGTTCAAATCTGTGCTGACCCTCGGCCATTTTAGCGACAGCAAAAGTATTAAGCAAGCAATAAAAGAGTGATCTCAAGCGTTGACGTTTCGCCAGACACTAAGCAGAGTGTAATTTAGGGGTTGCCAGCCTTCCTTAAATAATTTGATTCATAATTCGGAGATAATGTTTACTTCTCTCGTGGTACTTGTAATTCTCAAGAAAAGGAAATGCATGTAAGATAAATAGATAGGTGGTCGGACAGAAGTTTTATGGTCAGCTCTTTAACTCCTTCAAAACTAGCTCGACAGTGCCAGTCTCCGATAAATTATGTGAGTAAACAAAACGAATTTGTTTTGTTCTGGTTGCAGGTCACAATGGATTATCTGAAACAAGCCATCTGAACATTTGGCCAAAATGCAGCAGATCAGGTATTTGAAACTGTTATGGAAAATGACATTGTCTTCAAACTCCTTAGAAATTTTTGGGATATGAATATAAGGTTTTTAATTTTTTTTTTTGCTTACGGTGCTAAGCATTTTCTCCCATATACATACATATGTAAGTAGTGTACAAAGTGTGCTCGAAATCTACACAAAAAAAAAAAATAAAAAATCTACGTAATTTCTTAACCACTTAAAACTTGCACTTTATTTTACTAAAATTTAATAGACTTAAACAGCAGACCTGAAATTTAAAATTTTTATTACCTTTCAAATTTTTTCTTGTGCAATTCTTTATCGTTTTTGAGGAATCCCATTTAATTGTTTTAAACTAGTTTTTTTATGTAATATTTATTTACAGGAACATGTGAATCGATTTTCTTCAAAATTGCTACATAAAAATAACCAAAAATCGGGCTTGATAAAAATTGACGAAATTGAGCATAAGTGATTTTCATACGCGATATCTCTAAAAACATACGTATGTATGTATATATGTCTTGCCGATGAGAATCCTCGCGTCTTTAAATTTTGACAAGATGAGATAACAAGTTTTTGAGTTTGAAAACGAGTAGTTTTGAGAAGCTACGCTTTGGCGTCTCTGCGCTCTCGACTATATGCAAATCAGGCAGTTTCTGCATTTCACTTCTGAGTAAATCTCAATAAAATTCGCTTTGACTTCAAATTGATAGGGATTGAAATTCGCTCGGAAGTGAATTGCAGAACCTGCCTGAATAAGTACATATTTTAAATTTATTTAGGATTTTAC